AAAAGCACACGATAGCTATAAAAACAGCTCATCCATCATCTCTACATTTTGATTCCAGAGACAGCGGTGAAAGGTGTTGTTTCCACACCACTCACCCTGCACACTTAAAAAGGTTTGCTCCATCACTTACACAACTGAAACTGATTGATTAGCTGCTAGAGAAAAATCAATACAAATATCCTAGAAAACACTAGCTTGTAAATTCATTCTGGCCCCAACCAAGTCCTGGTCACCCCCTGACATGTTTTTCTAGATATCTAAAATGCAACCATGTCAAACCCAGCAAAATCAGCGCTCAAACACATTAATTCTAGGAATTTTTAAAACCTGAATCTCCAGTGAGGAGGAAGGTTTCACAATGGTCTCTGGGAACAACGAGATGATACCCAGAAGTTACGTGGTAAATCTTAAATTCACATGCTGAACTCTCCTCAAAAATAAAATACACGCTGAGAAGGCAAAAATGGTCAATAATGTAGGCTGAGGGAGAGAAAAAGAAAAAACAATGCTAGAAAACCAGTTAAACAGATATAATTTACATACAGAAGAAATTATATTTCTTTTTAAACAAATAAATAATGTTTAATGCTGTCCATTCAAAAGTTAACGAGCTCTCCCATTTTTTGGCAGCTGAATGCACAGTCCGCATATTTTTAGTATTGTGGGAAGCCATTTTATATTTAGAATAACTTCACGATGATTTCAGAATCTCTTCTGAATACCTCATTGCCTTCGGGTTAGCCGTTAGTATCTTCACTCATTAGACTAACAATAAATAAATTTTTATGAATATAAAATGTCTCATAATCACACTTGTAATTCCAGCACTTTGGGAGGCAAAGGTGGGCAGATCGCCTGAGGCCAGGAGTTCAAGACCAGCCTGGGCAACATGGCGAAATCCTGTCTCTACCAAAAATAGAAAAATTAGCCAGTGTGGTGGTGCATACCTGTAGTCCCAGCTACTCAGGAGGCTGAGGCAGGAGGATTGCATAAGCCCAGAAGGCAGAGGCTGCAGTGAGTCGAGATCATGCCCCTGCACTCCAGTGAGATCTCACCGCCAAAAAATAAAATAAAATGTCTGACAAATATGCCATTCAGAACAAAATTGTGATCCTATTGTATGTTCTATCATATGGCTGGAAACCTGGATTCTAATCCTCATTCCACAGTTGATTTAAAGTTTAAAAAAATCAATTTGTAATTCCGACATTCAGGAGCCATTAAAAAATTAAAAGGAAAGAAAGAAAATGCCACTTTAAGGATGGGAAATTTAACTTCCATCAACAGAGTGGCTTTAAATGTAGTGCTACAATTTATTGGAAGCATATTTAGGTTTTTCATTACAGAGAAACTTTTCACAAAACCATGTTTGTTATTCATTATAAGACAGGCAATCTACTCATGACAGAATGTAAAACTTAAGAGTTTCTGGTTCAAAGACTATTCCTATCACCGGAATTACTAAGTAACTAAATATGCAAAAGTCATAGTAATAACAAATGAGTCATTTCTTCTATTACGTTTACTTTTATAATTATTATTTGCAATTTTAAAGCTCAAACTTCTGATTTCTACAAGAGCATTAAAATCTCAATGTTTTTTGTAGAAAAAAAGATAATGCTACTAAATGTTTTTAAAATGTGAGCTTATAGACTGATACTTCCTATTGCTGAAAGAGATTATAAGGCCACACTTAGCATGAATTTGTACTTCTCATATTTAGAAAAGGAAAGGTAACTGTCATACCAAATACCTTCTATCTACAGGGAAATTTTTCATAAAACATAATTCGGACTCAAAAGAAAAATCTGTCATTTGATTTTGGTCATTCATGTTTTTTGTTATGGATGTTAGAATATTCTTACCCAAAATTAGTCTTCTCTTCCTGATTTCAGATTTTAGTTTAAGTAATATTTCTTCTTCATAATATTGACATAGACAATTACTTCATACATGTTATCTCAAATTCTTAAAACAGAAACATTAAATGTTATAGTGATGAGAAAACCATAATCTTGGAGAGGTAAGACACTGTATTCACATCATGTGTCTGGTAAGCAACAGAGCCGTATTTCAAATCTAAACTGCTTATAGCAAAAAGCAACAAATAACTCAGGACTTAAAATTTCCCTGGCTGGGTGCAGTGGCTCACACCTGTAATCCCAGCTTTTTAGGAGGCCAAGGTAGCTTGAGGACAGGAGATCAAGACCAGTCTGACCAACACAAGGAGCACCCATCTCCATAAAAATGTTTTATAATTAGCCAGGCTTGGTGGTGCATGCCTACAGTTGCAATTGCTGGGGAGGCTGAGGCAGGAGGATTGCTTGAGCCCAACAGTTTGAAGCCACAGTATGCTCAGACTGCACCATGATACTCCAGCCTGAGTAGCAGAGTATGAGACCCTGTCACACACACACACACAAATTCTAAACACACTGGCTTATCTCACAAGTTAGCTCATCAGTCTAAAAACTAGCATTTGGTTTCAACTCTAGTACACAGATAATAAGACAACAGAAAAACCTAACGTTGCAAACATTTCATGGTTGGGAATAAAAAGACACTTAACTTACTGATGTTGATAAGAGTAACCTTCTAATACTTTCTTTAAAAATAGCTACCACATTACTGCTAACCTCTAATATGTTCTTTGAATCATTCACCTTATCTCTTACAACCCACTTGGATATGACAATGTTAACTAACTAAAATCCTACAGAAGCAATACACTGTAACTTGGTTGCTCAGAGGGCATTTCTAAAGATAAATCACAGAGCTAAGGTGGATATTGTTATAAAAAATTGTAATCGGTTTACACAAACTATGTTTCTGAGGCAGGAGAGAATAAGGTCTGGAGGCAGGGAACCTAAGGCCAATTCACCTTGACTTCCCAGCTAAACAGAAGAAAAGAAAAAAAAAAACAAAAAAAACTTTCCAGCCTAAGTTACAAAAGGACCAGAGGCTACTCCCTTTGCAAACCCCAGTCTTTTCTGCACGGCAGCTGGGAAATTTAAAGTACTTCTCTGACTGGTTGCTTTCTGCAACCAGTCAGACGTTTGTATAGGTGTGCAACTTTGTAACTTCACTTCAGCTATCGACAACCAATCAGATGTTTGCATAGGAGTGTGACCTTCGGAACTGTACTTCAGCCTCGGATTGGTTTCTTTTCACAACCAATCAGACTGACTGCAGACCACCACTTCATTTACATGGGGTGGCCAGTGGGAGACCATTAGGGGGTGTTTGGATCCCAGAAGATTCTGTATCCAAGCTCTTGAGCCGCTGCTCAGACCCGCTCCTGCCCTGTGCAGTGTGCTTTCATTTTCAGTAAATCTCTGCTTTTGTTGCTTCATTCTTTCCTTGCTTTGTTTGTGCGTTTCTTCCAATTCTTTGTTTAAAACACAAAGAACCTGTATACCCTCCACTGGTAATATTTCTTTTTTCTCCAGTCACATATAATATACACAAATGTGTCTATATAAAGGCATGAAGCAATCATATCCAAATGTTAGCATAAGTTACAGGTGGGGACAGACGTAAGCGAGTGAAGAGATTTTTCACTTTCTACATGGTAATTTTACAGCTTTATATTTTTCAAATGAATTTCCAAGTAAAATGAAATTGATTTTTTTTAAAATTATATGCAGTTGTACTTAGAAATGCATGATGTTAGATAAGTACTAATTTGCATGCGTTCTAAGTTGCAGTGTTTGGTAGATAGATCATCTATGTTTAACATCACCATTATCTGACAGCTATATGAAAAAAACAAATACTAATTAAGAATGCCAGCAAAGAATTTTTTCAAAGGTATTTAGTTATTTAGTTTCTGGGCAAATTTTTGCCCATTCTAAGAAAATCCTTAGAAGTACTGGTTAGGCTGTAGAAGAGATAACCACCCAGGCTTTTCCTCAGATTAGATAATAATAATCTGGCTTTAAAAGGAGAACATCGGAAAGAGTCAGTAAATTTCCTTTATTTCTCTCTCAATACTAGATGAATGTGAAAGGAGGAGGGGACTGAGCTAAGAATATACAAGTAGAGAAAAACCGTTGGGAGGAATCAATAAATCAAGCAAGGGAATGTTTTTCTCTACTAATTCCAAATTCATGTTTCTAAAAGATTTCTATAGACTAATCAAAGAAATGAATTTGGAATTCATACTTTCTGAGACCCAGAGTAGCAAGTACTGAAAGTAGCACTCCAAGTTACTTGCTATAAAGACAAGCACAATGCCAATAACTATTAACCTGCAAGATGGTGAGACAACAGATTATCTCACGTTGGAAGTAAAAACACACCACTGTTACATCCACATACGATAAACAAAGACAAAAGGGGAAGTTTATGGTTTGAGCAGTTATACCTCCACACCACTGTGACTCATGTTAAAGATAAGTCCTAATATATGCTGAGAGAGACCCAGATAATCACATTTCCCAGCAAGTGACGACTCAGAAGTAGTTGGCCACCCTACACAGTTCATTCTCATTAGGCCTCTCCCCCTGTGCCACTCTTTACTGTTCTGACAGTCCTGTGGATAAAAAGGGTAGCCTCCTTTATTGGGTGATACAAAAGCCTATCTCCTTCTTCAAAGGCTTCTACAAATCCGAATTAGCTCTATAATCTGAATGGTCCAAAAATGCCAAAGAAAGAGATGAAAAATCTGAGTATTTCACTTGTCCAAAAAAATCTTAACACACATCAGAGGCTCATGGATTTCATTTTATCTTATTTTTTTTTTCCCATGGAGTCTAAAGATGGGTGGTAAAGTTCAAAATACATCATTTACCTTAGAGTGATCAGAAAATGGAAGAGCAGTAAACAAAGAGTAATGAATGTAAAAATAACCTAAGTGATTCAATCTGGTCACATCTTTTATTAGTTACGCTGATATATTTGTAAAACTCTTCAGAAAGCTAAAGAAGTTGGTCTCTAAATAGAAGACTAACATAATTTATTAAGAAGACAATTTCACATGTAATTCTAGAAAGTCTTACCTTGAAAAGATTGTTTGGCTCTATCTACTAGCTCATCAATCAGGTAACTGGCCAAATTTCCTCTGGCATGTTTAGTTTTGCAGTAGGTACAAGCATTGAGACACCTGTTCAAATGATAACAATAAATAAGACTCAAATTTCTAAAGACAGTATATACTTAACATGGGGGTACCTCAAAACATACACAAAAGTGCTCTTTCAGGAACATTTGCATACTTTATACAAGAGATTAAACAATCGAGTATCTACCATGTCTCAGAGTTATTTTATCTCCACCAGGCACAACACTCTGCAATTCTTTTAAGTTTCAACTACCCAAGAATGGCTGTACAAATCACATGTTATCTAAAAACGCACGTTATCTAAGAGAAAGAAAGTTTTAAATTGCTTATAATGACTAATCAAAAGAAATTCAAGACCCACGTTACTTTTCATAAACAATTAACATTTCTTTGGCCATCATATCCAGAAAGTTTTGGTATCACTTATACATACTATATTATTCAGAAAGGATGACACTCATTTAACTTTTAACTAATGGTATAAGAGTTAAGTAGATAATATAGCATTCTCATAAGAAAATGCACCCTCAGTAATTTTTAGATGATACTTTTCGCTCCTTGAAATCAGGAAAAAATATTAAAGCAAGTTCGATGAATAGTTCTCTAAGACTACATTAATCAAAGTAAAAAAGTAGAATGACAATATTAGCTTTAAAAAAATTTAAAAATACGCCTATTTCCCAAGAGTATTTAGACGTGATAAAGAACTGCCTTTTTAAAACTATTAATTCTACTCTTACAATATTAAAATATACCTTAAATAAATTTATTACAAAATAATAAATAGTCCTGTAACAAAAAGATAAGGCTCAACAACACTGAACCAAACAAAAAAGAACACCTCTTCAGTGATTCAATTGGTATAATGAGAAGCAAGGCTTTAAAAGACCATCAGTATACAAATGCTTTAAAATTTCATATTGAGAATAACTGTTCTTTTAATAATTGAATCTGACTCATGTGTAATTATTATTAAGATATGACTTTAAGATACATATAACTGTACTCAGCAGTCAGATATGCAACACTTAATTTCTAAGAATTTTTGCATGGGATTCTTGAGTAAAGTAATATACATTTTAAAACATGTTTTAATATGTAACAGACCACATAATCTTGAACTACTAACACTCTTTTCCTCCTAAGCAATTTAGATTTTTAAAATAAACATAAATTGTGTCTCTTTTACAAATATAGCCCCCCAGTTGTTAGATGTCTTCTCATTACATTTTCTGTCTTTTCCATAACAAGGGGAAGGAGAAAACTGTTCAACTGTCTTTTCCTTGAGAGGGTAACTCGATTTTGTTTAGTCCTTACTGAGCCTCAGACACTGTTACCGATATTTTTTTTGTTTTGTTTTCTTTTTCTATTTTTTAAAATAGAAACGGAGTCTTGCCATGTTGCCTTGCTGTGTTGGTCTCAAACTCCTGGGCTCAAGCAACCCTCCCATCTTGGCCTCCCAAAGTGCTGGGCTCACAGGAGTGAGCCAAGGAGCCTGTTATTGATATTGTATATGCCTTATCTCATTTAATCTTTTCAGAGTTGGGTTTCTCTATCTCCATCTTACAGACAAGAATCTACCAGGCCGGGCGTGGTGGCTCACGCCTGTGATCCAAGCACTTTGGAGGCCAAGGCGGGTGGATCACCTGAGTTTGGGAGTTCAAGACCAGCCTGATCAACATGGTGAAACCCAGTCTTTAAAAAAAAAAAAAAAAAGAATCTACCTCAAAAAATCAGATAAGTAGCTTGCTCAAGGCCACGTAACAGCTGAGATTCAAATCCAGGCTAGTCAGATTTCAAACTCCAAGCTATTTCCATACCAAGCTGCTCCCTCCCACAAAAACTGAGCACCAAACATCTCAGCTGCATAAAAATGCAAATACTAAGACCTGCAAATCATCAGACATGAGATACAAACTAATATAACATATATATTCAAAGATATGGCTGGTACTTATCTTCTTGAAGCTCAGTATGAAGCTATTGAATTACAATATGTGTTTCTCTCCTTTATTCTCTGGAAATCTAAGGCCAGGCTTCTTGTCCATCTACTGCCCTAACCCTGCCTTTTTCATCCTTGTTTACAAGTCTGTTTTTCATCCTCCTGCTGGTTCTTTGTGAAAATGTGCCATTACATCTGATTTTAAATTCTTTTAATGTTGCTGTTTCTTTTTTTTCAGACCGAGTTCCGCTCTGTTGCCCAGGCTCGAGTACAATGGTATAATCTTACTGCAACCCCCGCCTCCCATGTTCAAGACATTCTCCTGCCTCAGCCTCCAGAGTAGCTGGGACTACAGACGCGTGACACCATGCCCAGCTGATTTTTTTTGTATTTTTAGTAAAGACAGGTTTTTACCATATTGGCCAAGCTGGTCTCAGACTCCTGACCTTGTGATCTGCCCATCTTGGCCTCCCAAAGGGCTGGGATTACAGGCAAGAGCCACCACGCCTGGCCCATTTTAAATTCTATAGCTCAGGTTCTCAAAGCTGTTTACTAGAATACTGGAAGACCAGGGTTCTCTCTGCTTTTTCCTCAAGTGTCCCCACGACCCACTCAATGCAGCAAGCCCTGTCATGAAGCTGTGATTCCCACATATGACTAGCATTCACTCAAGGTAAATCCGCACCCTTCCAGGGAGCCTGTCATCTCTTCTAATACTAACTACTTCATTTCCTGTGATCCATTTCCCTTATTTGTCCTATTAGCAATGGAAAGCTCCATAAATTAAGTGAACAATCTTAATGGAAACTACTGGTTGAGCTTTGATTCCTAATCTGAAAACCTGAAATCCTCCAAAATCTGAAACTTTTTGAGCAACTACAAGAAACTTCCACACCTGATCTCATGCGATGGGTTGCAAACAAAATGCAGTCCAAACTTTGCTTCATGCACAAAATTAGTTTAAAATATGTGGATCATCTTCAGGCTATGTGTATAAGGTGTACATGAAACGCAAATGATTTCTGTGTATGGACTTGGGTCTCATCCCCAGGATATCTCATTTTATATATATATGCAAATATTCCAAAATCTAACAACAACAACAACAACAAAACAGCAAATTCAAAACTGTTCTAGTTCCATGCATTTCAAATAAGGGATATTCAACCTCTACTAATATTTCTGACTTGGGTTGTTTCTTAAAAGTAAATGTCTTAAGGAACACTAGCAGGGGGAAAATGACAGGGGAAGAAAAACAGTGAAAAGTAGAAAAGAAACATATTTTAAAATTCATAACATAAATGAATTGATACATGTAAAATACCAGAATGGTGTCTGTATCTAGTAAGTGATCAGTGTCAGCCACTGGTAGCTTAATGTGACTGTCATTAAACAGTTCTGTAAGGAAATAATTACGCATTATCATGTCCCAGGTGTACTCAACTTTATGGAACAGATGTGTTGCTGATAGGTTGGCTTAAAAGTCAACTCTGGAAACCAAATCTCATTTCCCTACTGTTTCACTTAATAAAGATGGAAATGTATCCCCATGGAAAATCACTCATGAAACTACCCAAAAGTTTAAATAAAAAAAAAAAAATGATATTCTGAAACATTTATAATACTTAAGCAAATAAGAGTATTACATTCAGAATTCAAAAAACTCTGTGCTAAACTGTTCCCTTCGGGTTAATTATGGTTGTTGACATGATAGTTTTGTTTTTTTCTTTTTTTTGAAACGGAGTTTCACTCCTGTTGCCCAAGCTGGAGTGCAATGGCGCAATCTCAGCTCATTGCAACCTCCGCTCCCAGGTTCAAGCGATTCTCCTGCCTCAGCCTCTCGAGTAGCTGGGATTACAGGCATGCACCACCATGCCCAGCTAATTTTGTATTTATAGTAGAGACGGGGTTTCTCCATGTTGGTCAGGCTGGTCTTGAACTCCTGACCTCAGGTAATCCACCTGACTCAGCCTCCCAAAGTTCTGGGATTACAGGCATGAGCCACCAAGCCCAGCTGACATGACAGTTTTGAAATTCCAAACTCTTTATTGTGTAAGATGGGTTCATCCTTACAGTTATCAAAATAATATTGCATATCATTTTGAGAAAGTAAAAGTTTTTTAAGAGCACTTTTTTTTGGTTGCTTGTATGTTTATTTATTTTAAATTTTTGTGAATACATAGTAGGTGTATATATACATATATATAAGGTACAAGAATACATTTCTTTAAACTTTCTAGAACGGTATCAACTCAAGCATTAAATCTGCTACTGTCTTACCTTTAAAGAGATTTATTATAATACACAGGAAAAAAATATGCAGTGTAAAATCAGAAAAGAAAGAGCATTTTGATGCTCTTTAGTTGAAAAACAGTTTTTCTAATGACCAGGAATTATGTTGACCAATCATTTCAACAAGAGAGGCTTCTCATAAAATAAAGAAATTCATAATAGAAACCTTTAGAGGATAGTTTCAGTTATCTGTAAACAATTAAATAATTGTCTAGGAGTAGGAACACTGAGCCAGTTTCTTCAATTGCAGAAAACAAAAGATCTTTGAAGGCTGGCTGCAGAAACCAAAACCCAAATGGGATGACTGCTGTACAAGGAAGATCCAAAATCCCCAACAGGCCTAGCTGTCCTGATGCCAGCACACGACACCTACTCATCTTTGCACAGGTTGTTACATGGCCAGAGGCCAAGAATGGCTAAAAACCTCAAAAGCAGAGAGAGCTTAAGTATGTAATTTGGCAATATAATCCAGGAATCTTTTATTTTTTATTATTTTTTAAAAAAGGTTTTTTTTGTGAAGACAGGGTCTCGAATATGTTGCCCGGGCCGTCCTGGGTTCAAGTTATCCTCCTGTTTTAGGCCCTCCCAAAGGGTTGGGGAGACAGGCATGAGCCATCATCTGAAGTCTGAAGAAACACCTGTGGTAGAATATTTTTAAATTACATCAACTAAACAAATGAAATAACAATGAATTTTCACAAGCTAAAATAATTCAAAGGGTTTAAACACATAACGGTCAACTTAATATCCAAACCACATTAAGCAAGTGAAAACTGAAAGTTTTAACATACTTACTCTTTTTTTTTTT